TACGGGTTGGTGAGTTATTTCCTGTTGTAACATGATTTCGTTACACTAAAACTGACTAGATAATGCACTTTTAATTTTTAAACAGGTGCCATGCAGATATCTCAAAGAATTAAGCAGCTGTACCTGCAATGACTAAAGATGAAGCTGACGTACTGTTTAACGAAGGAGAATATTCTTTTATGAGGATGAGTTTCATTGTTCCATAAATTTCTTCTGAGGAAGATCCTGAAGAACATACTCTAGCACTGGGAACGACAAATAAAGACCTAAAGACTTGTTAATGCACGGAAATAATTTCCGTTAATTGCATCAAAATACTATTTAAATATGCCACAAATTTTAGTTAGATGTGCATGCATAAATGTGCGCGTTCCGGTTTTTTTCTTGAGATCAAAACAGGTCTTCCACAAAAACTGCTCATCCTTGAAATCAGTCAGCGTTTATAATTTGCATGATTTTGCTGTAAATGATGCCCAAAGAAATTACGTATGAAATGCGGCTCTTGTAATTGCAAATTTCAAGCGTTAAACTTATTTCAAGTACGTTTACGTAAAGATTAGAGCATGATCACATGTGTTCTATAGCATTAGGCCTGTTTCAAACGTCGCATTTTACATTAGCCGAATGCATTTAAAGCAAAAGATATTGAGCAATTTTCTCCCATTTTCTTTTGTTTTAAATGCATTCGGCACATGTAAAATGCGACGTTAGAAACGGGCCTTAGATAAAATAACGTGTTTATTTAACCTCATTAGTGTTTTATACATAGGCAATACTATAACAAGGAGTTAAATAACAACAGCACAATATCCAAATAAGTATTCTCAATATAGAGAAACGAATGAGATTTGGAGAATATTAATGAACTATCGTTCTCCATTGTTTTCACTCCATCAAATTATTTTATTTGAGATTTATAGCACTTTATGAATGTTAGGCACTTTGAGATATAGAGCATCAAAATATGGATGCTGATTGGCCGCGGTGTTTTGGCCATTTTCTAAGCCTCCTTAGGGATTGCTGCAAACCAGACTTAGAAGTTTGGGTTGGTACAAACAGACTTGTTTCACCGGGTTGTTCTCGCATGGTTGTGTAGTATCCATTTGAATGACTGTGTATTCCGAATATAAAGCTCGTTTATTTTGGAAATGTTACAGATGGATATGACAATTCAAAAAAACACAACCATTTTCATATGGTGTTGAGACTTTAATAAAATGAAATATCATTTAGCCTTTGGGAAACACAGCTGTGTATAATTTGTGTCTCTTCTTTGATGAAATTTTAAATTGAAAATTATCTACTTTGAATCTCAGCTTGTCAATATTTGCGCCAAGAAACATTATTTTGCTAGAGGTAAATTTAATATTTATTTCCATCGTCTTCAATTTTATATTTATCTCCAACTCTAATCAATCCATTAGAGTGTTTATATCATGACACTCAAGAAAAGCTTATGAATTCACCGTTAGGTCTGATATACATGGTGAGTGATTTCATATGATTGCGTTGTATTCACGATTGTACTTATGTAAGGTGACCGGTTCATATCAATTTGTGGCATGTTGTTTGAGTAGGGCATCATTTAGCTGTCACAAGCATTGAATGTGTGTGATAATGTGATTTCAACTTTAATTTTAGAGCAAGTACATATTTTGAATTTATTTTCTAGCTACCATGCTGTGGCATAGCACCTTAGAATGTTCATTATATTAATTATTATATCATGTATTGAAGGGAACATAGAAAGGTAAATCCTTATTACCTATTTAAGTGAAACTGTCAAACAAAAAAAAACGCAGATTGCTCTGAAAAATTGTTGAAGTTTCATTAGTTACGACAAACTTTTTTGTTGTAAATTTGTGACCTTGGCTAATTCAGTGTAGCAACGTTTGAAGGGGAGCTCCACCCTCACATAATGTTGGTGTTAAAAGTTCCATCTTTATGCGAAAGTTACTATATTTTGAAGTTTTGACATCAGCTATTTTATTTTTGATAAAATCGCGTCTTTAACTGCGCTATTTAAGCTGTTTTGATGTTTAGCAGCGTGGGCGCAGAATGCGTCAGCGGAAATTATTTGACGTTATATCGTCAAACCGATTTGGAGTTGAGTTTACAACAAAGTAAAATAATAACGCACAGCCCAGCACAAAAAAAACAAAACAATCGCTTATAATGGCTTTTTTGGAAGAACTTCGACCTAATTCACCAATCGATAGTGAAATGGAAGACAGTCCAACAAACAATATTTGGCCATATCAGTTTGAGCCCAAATGGCCGGCTTATGAACACGAAAAAATTGCTGCATATTTATTTTCATGGGACAGACAAAGTTTTAAAGCAAAGTTAACGGGAGAGTGGAGTTCCCCTTTGAGTGGTGGTCATACTTATTAAACTGCTGTAAAACACACACCAATAGTGAAAACTTTATTGTCATTCTTAAGAAATTGCGTCTCGGTTTTTTGCATGTAATTACCCTGTTTCGTTTAATCAATGTTCCGCATTCCACGTCACCAAACATATAAACATTTGTACTTCAAATACATTCGATGAAGCACTCTTTCGAAGCCATAAGTGTTGAGGATTGATTTGCGAAGAGATGTCGTTTCTACTTCTTTTCTATTTTAGGCCTGTTTCAAACGTCGAACTTAACAAGCGTCGAACTCATTAAAGACAAAAGAAAATGATATGAACTTCCTCATTATCAGTTCTAAATGCGTTTGGTTCATGTAAAGTTTAACGTTTGAACTAGGCCTTAAATTCGCTATTTTCAAATACACTGTACAGAACTGTTTGTTAGAAATTAACCTATTGTAAAATTTCAAGCCTGATCACTGCGCAAATCTCACTGGTGCATTACTCTTGATGTCTTGTGATTAAGAGTTATGTTGAATTACCATGAGCAGAAAAGCTTTCATACTATAGTAAAAAAATATATATATCATATGTGCACGTAGCTCACAATAGTTTATGCTCCCTGAGCTTAGTATAGTGATAGGTAAAGTAATTATCGCAATACATAAATTTCTAAAGGTTTTCTTTTTTTGATACACCCTGTAAATTTGATGCCCTTCAAGGTTAACGAAACTTAAAATAAATATCAAATAGTTATTGTGTCAAAGTCAGAGTCAGACAAAGTCATCTAAGAGACTTGAAATAATTTTTTGCATCGAATAATGTATCACAGTTCTTCACTACGTACACATATATAACGTTCATATTGTGGGAAAAGCATTGAATTTCTGTTAATGGTTCAGATGTAGTCTATAAACGTAGCAATCGTATTTTATAATGTCTTCATTTTTTGAAGATTCCGATGTTTCGCGTTCATCGTTTATTCGTTATTGCGCAAATAATAGTTGAAGGTTTTGCTAAGTTTCATCTTTCAAGACAACTTTGCCCCATCCTTAAGATCACTTGGTAAAGTGTCTATTTCAAGGTATATACAAAGATAATTCACATGTTCTTATAATTGAGCTAACTATCTAAGGAAGTGTTTTACCTGACTCAGATATAGGCACTTAAATCGTTCGTTTTTTTGTAACTGCTTTGCGGCATTTATTTTTGGGCTTCTCTTTTATAATCTATTTAGCTACCTGAGAAATGGAAAAGAAAAATGTCAGTGATAAAAAGCAAATATTTGCTGCCTGTGTGTTATTTTGTTGCTTGAGTGTTATTTGTTTTTGTGTGTGTTCTGCTTGAACGACAGTTTTTGGTCCCCCGCGTTGTTAAATATCTGAGTCGTCATAACGACTTGACTTGCGAAACGAAATTTTGAAGATGTGACTTTTTCAGTTCATTATGATGTTTTGTCTTATGTACGAGTGCTCTCATACATAAGACAAAAGAAAAAGAGAAAAGAGCACGAGGGAAAAGAGCACGAGAAAAGAGCACGAGGGAAAAGAGCACGAGGCCGTCAACGCATAACGTATTTGGACAGAGTTAAGAAAGTTACCGGAATCGCCAACACTGCAGAAATCTTTGCCTGTGCTCGTAACCGTCAACGTTGGAGAGACATGGTAGCCCAAGCATGCATCATGCATGGCACCTGAACAGAACAGAACGAGTGCTCTAGGTAAAATGTGAAATGTTTCTGTTCAACACAATTTTTATAAGCTTTGAGAGTGGGTGTTATAAGAATGTTTATGCCAATCTCAACATGTTGAAATCGCAACTCTTATTACATGATGTATTTTTATAAATTTTTGCAACCATGTAAAGCATTTACTCCGTGTTTAGGTTGAATTAATACCAGTGTAACTCTACAAAGTTTCACCAAGTACGACTTCCTTTAGCTGAAGGAACAAAAGCATGAAATATTGCGTGCAGAAATTTTTATGTATTTCATACAATTGAATACAATACGTAGAAACCTGACGTTATCTATATTAACTAATTAATCTGTTGCACAAAGGCATGTTTGTTCAAGCATTTTTCGTATTGTCGTACAAAAATGTAAAAACTTCTCCTTATTGTGAGCTTTCAGTGAATTTCAAGCCACAGAAGGTTCAGACTTAGCTAGGAATATTAATACTAGCGTATCGATTTGACTAACACTGATGTTACCATCGAACTACCATACACGAACATCAAACTACCATACACGAGTTCCTTACAAGCTAAATGAAGGCAATAATGCAATATATCTTTTGATTACGACGGCACGTCTAATTGGAGAAGTCATTTCTACAAATTCCGTTCTTGTCGAAACAAAACAGCATCTTTTTTATAAGGTTTACGAAGTTATCATGACTTTCTCACATGAATTTCTTTACTACCAGTGACAGAGACGTGTCATGAAAATAATTATGTGCATAAATTTTACATAGAATGAATAAGAACACTTGCATCACGCCGATTTAACTTAAAACGATTATTAAATGAAGATATGATCTTCGCACTTTGCTGGACAATTTAAGCAATCGTCTCAGAACCTGAAAAAATCAGGTGACTCAACGCGATTTGAACCCATGACCTCTGCGGTGCCGGTGCAGTGCTCTGACCAACTGAGCTATGAAGTCACACAGTGGTGAGCTTTCAAGTTTAGAAAGTTTGAAATTCCTTTCGATTTTACTATAATATAAGAGAGGGATGTTGGGAAATCATTAATCGTTTGAGTTGAGACTAACAAGACTTACCGAAGTATCGGGAGACGTTTTTCGCGTTAACAATCGTGTATCTTCAGTCGATACAGGTGTGTAATAAGAATAATAATGTACATAAGTATTTGTTAAATGGATGAAAATGTGGAAAAATAAATTACAAACCGGCATCAAAAACTTTATCATTAACATTACCTTATTCACTTCACAGTTTTATCATGTGCGTAGAGATATCGTTACAACATTTAACATTCACGTATTAAATGATATTGTGTATTTAGGTACGCATTATAGGTACGCATTGCGTGCATATGCGTAGCACAGTTCAAGTGATGTATGTTTAACGTTTTGCATTTAACGTTGAGCGCTCATTCATAAACCTTTATAACATTTTCTGGCTAAATCATATGTCTTCAGCAATATATCGTTTAAAGGTTTTGTAAAGAATAAATTTTACGTCCTTCACAATGTCAATTAAAAATGGAATGCATGTTTTCTTTCGTATAAACAAAATACATGCAACTTTGACAATATTGCGACACTGTATCACTGTTTTTACATCAAAGAGTTGTGTAGTTTTGTTGTTACTATCTTGATAACAGTTTTGATTGCAATTAACGCATGTTTAAACTTTGAATGTGGTCTTTCAGATGCGACTGCGCGCTACCGACATACGCAATGTGTCAGCGCTACCAAAAAACTGAACTAACGAATTCATGATCTTGGTAGTAATGTTCTCATTTGGTGAATTATTTACTTTGAATATTTTTGAGATAAAGTCAATTTTCCATATAATGCTGTATTCACTTGACTGATTGGGAAAGAAAGGGTTGCAAGAACCTGTTTCACTTCTAAAAACCATTACGATTACGTATAACGTATAATTGTATTCTGAGTCATCTCGTTTATTTTATGGCAGCTAGAGACTAAATTGGTTGTTTATAAAAAGAAGTACTTTGCAGCCATTGCCATTTTGGTGGTGTTCCTTTATAAGCAATTCTTCAAGGATTGGCTTTGAAGAACTGAAGTACGAATGCGCATTTAATGTTAACGACGTTACGACGACGACAAGTTTTATGTGGAGGTACCTAAGAGATAGGAAGTTTTGATGAAAAAGAGCTAACCAGTTGTTTTCATTTCATTATGCGTCTTACGCCAAATTGTTATTAGATTATGTTTAATGGCAAAACATACAAGGCAAAACTACGACATAGCGCATGTTTAAATAGGAGTGTGATCTAAGAAGTGGGCAAAAAAGACAGATGAATAATCAACAGCATAGTTAATAGTTACATTGTGTTCATTTGAGCATTTCAGCTATGTTTTTTGACAAATCTTTGGTGTACGTTTTTTTATTTCTAATTCTTGGATTGCAGCCAACCTCCACGTAATTATCCAACAATGTATCTCGCTCACGTCGGCAGGCGACCGCAATAGCATTTACAAAATTTTCTTTAGTATTTGGCTACCAACATGGCAGCCGTGACGTAACATGCAAACCGATATTGTATGTTATTAATCATGAAGATGGGATATTGGTAACTCTTACTTATATGACTTACAATAATTGATTTTTAGCAAAGTAACAGTGTCAGAAACCATGACCAGCCGACAATTTAAAGAAGTATAATATAAAACAAATTCCGAAGGAACAAGACATCTTGAGTTTGCCAATATGAATCAAAACAAGACGAGAAGTAAACTGTAAACTTTCGACTTTATTTCAAAGTTATCCTCAGACAGAATGATGAAACTCTGACAGATCATTCTCAGACAGATCATTCTGTCTGAGGATGACTTTGAAATAAAGTCGAAAATTTACAGTTTACTTCTCGTCTTGTTTTGATTCATATTTTGCAATCTCAAGATGTCTTGTTTCTTCGGAATTTGTTTTATATTATAACAATGTCAGCATTTGTAAAATTTGGGTTTTATGTATACAATACCAATTTATCTCCATTCAAGATTATCGTAAAATAAACATGTTTCATGTTTTATCATCAATTGATGAAAAGTATCTAAAATTTCATTGCATGCTATGAATGACCTATTTATAAAATGAACCATTTTTTCTATGCAGCATCATTTTCGTACTTGTAAAATTTTTTTCTTGAAAATAGTAATGTTATAAATCGAGCTGATAGAGATGATACGAGCACTTAATTGCCATAAAACTTGAACAAATGACATTTTGTATTTGTGTATATCGGATAACAATATCGGACAAACAATAAGAATAACACACTTTTTAAGATTGTTAAGACTTACCATAAATTGTTAACAAATATTTTCAACTATTTGCAGACACGGAAAACGCTATAAAGTTTTGTCATTCAATCGATAAATGGAAAACATTGAAACGCACGGACGTGATCTTGTCGACAATTTGGGCAATCTCAAGAAAGAAACTTATATTGCCAAATTTACAACCGACTTAAATCACTGGGATATACCTGAAATACCGAGAATGAATGCTTTGTTAGACGAGCAATCGTCAAAGTTGATAGGATTTCTTAGAGCAATCGACCAACACGTGAACATACTTCGTACAGAAATGAGAACCGAGAATGACCAACTCAGAGAAGACATTAGACAATTGAGGGCAGAGTTTGCAGATATGCAAAGGCAAAGTAACGAAATGATAAGGAACATTTCAACTTGACTCAATACTATTTTGGGCTTTCAATCTCGAACAATGTATTCACATTTTTTAAAGCAGTTTTGCAGACACTAAACCTACGTTACTTAACGTCTAAAAAGCTCTTGATATCCGTCTAAAGCATCATTTACAATGTAATGTTTTTACAAATATGGCTAGTAACGCCGGTAATTGTAATTTTACTTGTAGATATAAACATTGCTTAGTTTAATAACTTCATTTATCCTTTTAATAATTTGTATAAAAATAAATAAAGGAACAGTTATAAGTTTTTAATTCGTTTCTGTTCAGTTCAAGTCTTTAGCAGTTTTTTCGCTGTTTGTGTTAAACTGTTATTAGACGATCAATGTTCGACATTTGCAGCTGCGATATAAATACGATAGTATATTCCTTTGCTAAATACCTCGCATTTGTCGTATCATCAATAAGCTTTTTACTTAAATTTTCTAGAAGAGCCATGTAAAATTTATTCAAATAAATATAGTCAGCACCTTGATGTAGTACCTCGGGGAATCTCATATAATATAGGGTGAATAAAAATGAAATCTTTAGAAATTAAACCTATATGTTTATTATTTCATATTTGCATGCTTCCATACTCGTACATATACACAAGTTTTTTAGGCCATGAAAATTTGACATGACTGGAACATTTTTAAAATATGCCTTGTAAAATATGCTCGAATTTGCCTTTTTAAAATATGTTCGAACTTGCATGTTTACGGACCAGAGGGACCAGCATTTAAGATTTGGCTTTAAAATTTTAATAATAATATGATTTCTTAAGGTATTTTTATACACCCTGAAATTTTCATTGCATATATACAATCGTCGAATGAATTAATTTTACGTTTTTTTAATTCACTGCATGTTGATCTTGAAATCGATTGTTCAGCGAGCAAAAGCACTGGGAATGTGTGAAAAACAATCATTCCCAAAGGAGTCGAAGGAGAAAGAGATTTTCACCATATTAGAAGCCAAACTGTTTGTTTCCCACAATAAGCCATGTATCCTGTTTGTGTGCCTGTGTATGACTGGCCCTAGTGGAATTCCTTTTGTTGTATTAGAATATATGCGAATTCCACGAGTCCAATTATCGGGCATCGCCTTTTCATCAATTCAAATGAGGAATGATAAACATGTATAAAATATGCTGGTAAATTACATATATGTGTTATTAGCCCACTTTTATCTTAGAAAATGACGAGTAAACGTGCTTCAAAAATGAAAGTATAGGATAAAGTGGTTAAAGAGGTAATCGAAGTGTAAACGAACGGGGGGTATACTTTGCAAAATCGGTCTGGTTGTGATCTCAAGAAAGGAGAACAATCTTTTCCATCCTTGTTGTAAAAGAATTCGTTACAGAACTTCTGTTTGTGCTGTTTATGGTATGAATATATACTATTTACGAAGTACTAATTAGGTTGGAAAATTTTGATGGCGTTGTCAACTAACGGAAAGTATTACTTAATTATAGTTTCATCCTTATGCTTCGAAGATGCTAGTTCTTATGAATAAAGTTTGTGTCATATCTGTAAACCGTTGTAAAATTTAAGTAAATTTGCCCCTCTCTGCAAACAGTTTGAAAATGATCGTACGGAATGTTAAATTATACAAGATGAAAAAATCATGTTATACACTTAGTAATGCAGTTTTATTCTTATGTCAAGTTTAATTCGGAACTTGCATGTTTGTTTTAGGAAAAGTTTGATTGAGTTAAGTTCATCATCGAGAAGACGAATCTTTATGACCAATTAAATGTTTGCCTGTAGTTTGGATTCGTTGCAAATGCTGTTGTTCGTGTATGTAACAGCAAAGGGCCCCCCTGTTATGTGCGTGGTCAGCTACATTTAATCCGAATCAATTCTACTGTAAACATTTTATTGATGTGGCTCCTGAAGTTGGATGGAAGGTATTAGTGATTCTTTCGGTTTTGTGTTTATCTTATATTTCAAAGCTCAAAACATGAAATCTATTTCTATATCGAAATCGAACGTCTTTTTAAGATGGGTAATATTTACAGCAGTATTTAGTCGGATGTATAAAGACATGGCAAAGTCTGGACAAAATGTACTATAACATTAGTGTGGGTTTGTTGATAAACAGCAATGCTAGTTGGAATGCAATGATGCACCGTGGTGATGTTAAGAAGATGATAAACTATGCAATGTTGAACGTGTGAAAGTTACAAAATGTAGGTTTTGGATTGCACTTGGATATGACGCCGTATTTGGTGTATCTCGTGTTCGTAAGATGAAAGTCATTCAGAGAGGAGATACGGGAAATATGATGTACACATTGGTGTTACCAAGATTGTGGTAGTCAAATCTACGATACGTGAAGAGTGTTATCCGAGAAGAAAACAAGAGTAGATGAGTTGTCAACTATTCAGGTCTATCGTTGATTATTTTATAATAGAGAATGCTTGACATACACAACACAAGGCAATTGCATACGTAATACTGTTTTGAATGTGAAAAGACATTTTTTTCTTTCATTGAGTATCGTATCGTTTCCTAAATGCAAACCATTTTCTTTTTAATCTAAGTTTCTTTGCATTTGAAATTGTTAGATCCCCTAGCGTTTAAACAATAAGTGCATGTTGCAAAGGAACTTCGACGTAAATTTCGAGAGATTTATCATCGCCAAAATTATTACAGTAAAAACGTTTATCCAATTCTTTAAAATGGGGAGTTAGTGATTAGATTTTACACATCAGCAGTAGGGATTCAAACATTTTTAACTCTACATGAAAGCAACGTTAACTCGTAAGTTTTTATAAAAGTCAGGTCTTTTTCATAAATTAACTTCAAAATTCTGCATGGAGTTGGCAAGTATGACGTGATGAATTTATCAAAAGCTGTCGTTCAGCTGAAAAGTGACTCTTCTGGTAACTTGGCCATCGGTATTACACACGCATCTACGCAGAAACATACTTGAAGCTCGATCTACATGGTAGCTAAATGGATTTCCTGATGACATTGAAAGAACTTGAAAACTTCGTTTCAAGAAGACTAAAAAGAGCTGCAAAAAGCCAATAAAGAGAACACGTTTTGACTTAATTAAAAATTTTGCTTTGATGGATTGGAGCCTTATTCACTTCACAGTTTTATCATGTGCATAGAGAAATATCGTTACAAGATTTAACATTTTACAGCTATGACGTTGAGCACAGTGATTTAAACAACATATACTTAGGTTGCATTTTTTAATTAGGTGTACAAGATTTCGCATTTTAAAGCTTTTATATTGAGCACAGTAAAGCACATAGCGCATGCTTAGGTTGCATTTTTCAAGTAAGTCAAAATCTGAACTGACTGCCCCATCTTAAAGACTGCCTAAAAAGCCAACCAGAGCACTGAATGATAAGTGGAAATGTGGAATGACAATTAACCTCCTAGAAGAGAACTAACATGTTCTTAATGGTTTGTTTTTTAAAAAACTTGTTTTCTTTCGAAATGTCAATTAAATAAATGGATATATCAAAACCAGTGCATGATGCTGCCGAAGTATAAGACTATCTGCATTAGCCGTCGAAAACTTAAAAAATCCAAAATTGTTTTATAATTTTCGTATTGTCTAAACATCTGAAAAAATCGAAACTACTCTTTGTTTTCTTGGAAGGTTTTTTACCAGGTTCACTGGTTTTCCTTCCATTTCGTTTTGCAAAAAATGTGTCCGTGATATGGGGCCGACAATTGATGAAAATGATTCAGATGTTTTTGTGTTCAGATTCATTTTTATGATTGAGAATTTTTGAATTTGAGAAATTCGAATTTAAGAGTTCGGCCTCTAGGTTAGAATCTCAGAACATTACAATTGGTATAAAATTGCAGAATGAGGTGTTGATTTGTAAACTTGTCGGTAGCAAACAGTTTTTTGATTTCAGTAATCGTTTGAAGACTTAGATAATTTGCTGTTCAAGTATAAGTGTACAAGAATGGACAACCAATTACAAAAATATATGCATTCGATGAAAAAGCTTACACTTAGAAGCCTTTGTTCTTGACTTGCAACTGTTCTCTTCGGATTCACCGAATATAATGTTGCACAACCACTTCAGCAGGTGCGTACGCTAACACCACGGCTGACAATGATAAAATGTTCTTTGGTATTAGACGAACAACATGGCTAAGTTGCAATTGAAAAATTGAACAACTAAATTCAGTAATTCTGTTTCAACAACAAGTAAGAGAATATATGGTGCATAGTTGACGCACTTAAAAGTCGAAAATTTTCTACAGAAATTAATCATGCTGTGAAATTTATATATTTATATGTAATGTGAAGAGAGATCAAGGTAGCTTTTCATATTCTCAATTTTTTAAAAGCATCTTAAGTTTGTTTCATGTTGATTTATATGTTACTTTTTACCATGATGATGTCATTATTGACATTGACAGAACAGCTTAAGAAAATTCGATAGCTTATCTATAATGCACGATGAGGACTGAGATAAGCATGCTGCTAACCTATATTGCATGATGAGCATTCATCATCCAATACATATATATAAGCAGTGTTCTTTAGTATTTGATAATCAATACAGACGTTCTTGCCCACTATCAATTGCAGGACTAATACTATATTGAAATGCAATTACTGCTTGTGTTGCACTGGTGCTTACTACCTAAAAAAAACGTAATATGTTTTCTGGTATTTATGAAAGTTTCCCCATCTTATTTCAAATAGCAGCATGCAGTGCAATACTATTTACTTCTACTAATGAATTTATTGAATCGAAAACACTTTCGTTGCTAAGAAACTATTGAAAACTTTGTAGCTAGCTAACATGGGCGTGTAAATGATCAGAAAGTTTTTGAATATATGTAATCTAAAAGTGCTGGTCGGAGTTGGTCATTGCAAGAGCTTTGAAGTCAGAACTATAGATGCATAATTTAGAGATGACATTTTGTTAGTTTTGTTAGCACAGAATTTTTTAGACTCACACTGTAGGAAAACTAGAAATTTCCATGTATACGTCATTTGATTTTGTATGCAGGAAACATTGCTTTTACCAATTTTATCGATTGTTAGAAGAAAAAAATTTCTTTCTCTTCTGCTACAATTGTTTATTACTTGAACTACAACTGCTTTTGTGGAACTAGCTACAATTGCTTTCAATGACACCAAACAACATATGAATTCTTATTATTATACCTTGAAGGACTTTTAACTATGGCAAAATTCAGTTTCAAACGGAGAACATAGTATGTTGTAACTCTTATTTAGCTTCTTAATTCTCTTGTGAAATTTATGCCATCCTCAAAACGTCA